GACACAATTCCCACTTTTAAGGAAGAGAATCTGTGAAGGCTAAGAACAAGCATGATGTAAACAGAACATATCACACATACGCCAGGACTGGTCCATCAGTAATGGGATTTCTGGTGTTTTTCTTGTTATGACCAGCCTACTTTCATTTCCTTTTATTTAAGTTTCAGGCTTTATGCTATTTTAGCATAATTCCAGGGTTCTTGATCTTGAAACCAGAAATAACCAGAATATTTTCCTGGAGTTGCTAAAGGCCCTCGATAGTAGAGAATTTCTAAGTGGGAAGAGTTGGCCTCTGAGCCATATTTGAGACAGACAGGATACTGCCTGTGAATCCCTTGCTTGGTTTCCTGGGAGACTTTAATGAAGCCCCAGGAACCATTCAGGGCAGTTTATTCATTCTGGGCAGGCCTAAGGGACCTCTCTTCTCTTCCCAATAAAAAGAAAACTGTAAATTGCCATTCTGACTGTCCCCACATCAGGGAACCAGGGAAACCTTGGATGCTGGATTCCTTTAGAGAGTCTAACACTTTTCTCATTCTGGGCAGGCCTAAGGGACCTCTCTTCTCTTCCCAATAAAAAGAAAACTGTAAATTGACATCAGGGAACCAGGGAAACCTTGGATGCTGGATTCCTTTAGAGAGTCTAACACTTTTCAGAGTTTCAGAGGCCTTGCTTGCATCCTGACTTCACTATTCTGAGAAAACACCAAAATCTCCCTAGGACTGCTAGGCTCAGTTAGGTTCCATGGACTGGAGATTTCTCCCATCTAGTCCAGTTCAAACAAGGCTATCATTTTTCTTGGAGCCAATGTATAATAAAATCGTCTGTTCAGTGAAGGTATTTGTGGAATGCTTCCTATCATTGTGTTGGAGGCCTGGGCCCACCATGGTAAATAAAACACACTCTTTGCCCTAAAGGAGCTTTCCATAGCAGCAAACTACTGGTGGAAATTGAGTTCCATCTTTCCTATTGAGTGCTTTGCTCATTGAATTTCCCTCCAGCTTGTGCTCTCCATGTACTAGATCCTTGTACACCTGCTTCAACACTGAGTGTGATGACCTCTTGTTCCATTTTAAATATTTATAATTGATGGTTGAGTCAATAACTGTATTAATTTTATTGTATTATAGTGCCTCAGATCTACCTGTAAAATTGATGTAAGCTATTTTAATTTACATTTTGAATTAGGATTTCTTAAGATTGTGTTTTACTGAACTGCTATAAAGTCATACACAGAATCTGAAATGTGCATGTTTTTGAAGGTATATGGCTCCTGAAATGCTTGATGATACTATAAATGTGAATATCTTTGAGTCCTTCAAACGAGCTGACATCTATTCTGTCGGTCTGGTTTACTGGGAAATAGCCCGGAGGTGTTCAGTTGGAGGTAAGATTTTGTAAATATTCTTTGTGTCTTCCTTTCCTTGATGCTCTGAATACAACATGTGATTTTATTTTATTTTCTAAGCACTGTATTGAATCATTTCTAACTCTTTAAAAGAATACCTTTTGGTGATATCTTTACAGTGGCAAAAGTGGGATATCCTGCATATAATGGAGATTGTATGTTGCAATTACTGCTTGGGTGGGGGTGACAGGTCTGATAATTCTGATTTCCATAATGATACTTTGCAAAGCACTTGAAAATTATCTTGAGTTTGTATGCAATTAGCTGGTATCCCTACTTTATATCCCAAAGAAGTTAAATGACTTGCCAAGGCCACAGGGCTTGAATTTCAGTCTCTCATTTCTTAGGCTTTTCTCATACTTCTTTTCTGTCCTGTGATATGATAAATGGGGGGTGGGGGTGGGGCAAAGTGGGGGGATATGTGAGCAAAGACAAACTTCCTGCCTTTACTGCTCCCAGCAGTTTAGAAATGGATACTGCAAGAAAGAATTTAGGAGGATTGAACCCTACAAATGCAGTCTGATGAAATTGTTACATAAGTGGCAAAAAAGTTAAATGCTGGTAGAAAGTGGTTTAGAGTCTTCACTTTCAAGTGAGGAAGGTTTAGGATTAAGCCTTCGTTTAGCAACTCCTTCGATGTCATAATTGAAGCAAGTTACTTAGTTTCACTTTCCTCATCTGTAAAATAAAGATAATAAAAACTGACCCTTTAGGCTTTGAGGATTTAATGAATTAATTCACGTGAAGCTTTTAGTGCAGAGCCTACTCATAGTAAACATTCAATAAAAGTCCTGTCATTATTAAACCACTGTCATTTTTTGCATTTTGTGTTGATGTCATGTTACATTACATCAGTTGCATTAAAAAATGCAGATCTTATGAAAAGCTTATAAGGTTAAAATTGTATTTGAATGAGTAAACACTCTCTCTTTTTTATTCATAGATGAGATAGTAAAACATTCAGGAATCTGAAACTATTCATAGAAGAATAGAATTATAGTGGTACAGAACATGGGCACTAGCATCCCTGAATGTGGGTGTGAATTCCAGATCTGTACTTACTAGCTGTGGGTTCTTGAGCAAATTCACAAATTCACAATACTGTGCCTCAGTTTTGCTGTCTGTAAAATAGGGATAATATGATACCTTCTTTAATCAGTAGTTTTGAGGAATAATTAATTAAAACATATAAAAGGTTTAGGACGGTGCTTGGTAAATAGCAAGATTTCAAACATGTTTGTTATTTTTTTGAAACATTTCATATTGATATTTGTCTAGATTTGTTCTTAGATTTTTGTCCTTAAATTTTCTTAACCTGTGAAAATAGTAATTTAGCCAACAAGATTTATTTAGTAGTTAGTTTTCTATTAAGGCATGTCTTAAATATTTTAAATTAAAAGGGCTGTAGTTAGTTAAAAAGATTAAGAATTTCTTGGATTCAGGTAATATTCTGATAATTAAGTTCATCTTTGTCTTTGCATTTAAGACTCGTTAAACATTAATCTTTATGCTGAACCATCTTCAACTGCCTTTGGCTGCTGCTTTTCCAGAACATTCCGTAGTTTTAAAATCTAAGTGTAAGAAACTCAACTTTTAAAAGATTGCCTAAAAATTTTCAGAGAGGAAGCTATTTTGTTTTGAAAAGTTATTTAATGAGGAAATATACTTCATTCACAGAGCCTCATTAGGCCGTGCTGTAAATTTTTATAATTAGGAGAACTTAGGCATTAATTTTGAATTGCATAGTGGCATTTTATGTAAATAAAAAATAACAATTTTTATATTAAAATATTAAAAATTAAATATAATTATAAAGGTATGTAAGTTTTATATATTTTATATATTATATATTACATAAATTAATTATATAAACATTTTATATAAAATTTATATAGTTATGAACACTTTCATAATATGAAGTTTTATAACTATATAATAACAGTTCAACTGGCTGCTTTAATCTTATATTCTTGGTTTTATAGTGATACGTTATTTTAATAAACCTGACTTTCCAGTTTCCCAGGGTGTCATTTGTGCCTAGAAGACTTAATTGGTATTATTTTGAAATAGACATCTTTGTATATTATTTGCACAGAGAGATTTATTATGCATATTTCTTACAGGAATTGTTGAGGAGTACCAGTTGCCTTATTATGACATGGTGCCTTCAGATCCCTCCATAGAGGAAATGAGGAAGGTTGTTTGTGACCAGAAGTTCCGACCAAGTATCCCAAACCAGTGGCAAAGCTGTGAAGTAAGACTAAGTTCTTGTATATATTTTTCCTATTATACTTTTGAGGTGAGTATCAGGGAGGATTTTCAGAGAGCATGTAGTTCTTCTTTCTTAATCTAGGCATCCCCTTCATTCCATATATGTAAGTATATGTCTTTTTGTAAGTCCTCAGAAGCATTTTATTCCCTTTAGCAATATGTATGCACAGTGCTGAGTTATGTGGCACTAACAAACAAATCCTGAAATCCCAGGCTTTATACAATAAGACTTTATTTCTTGCTTATACCAAGTTCTCTACAAGTTAGGCAACTCTTGCAGCATCTGTGCTCCCTGTGGTGACTCAGATAATCCAGGTGACTTTGATCCTTGGATGCTGCCCTCTCAAAACGTGGTTTCCAGATCTCTAGGGCAGGACGCAAGAGGAGATACAGAATCAAACACTGGCTCTTTAATCCTTTGGCGCCAGGAGACACACAGTACTTCCACTCGTGGTTCAAACCAGCGGTCACGTGGTCCCACCTAACTGCAAGGGAGCTGGGAACTGTGGGAAACAGAGGTAGATGCAGTGGTTAGTCAAGGTTTGTGCCACACAGAATATCACAATTACATTCATTCTTATATTCAATCATTTATTCATATCTCTAACCTGCTGAAGTTTGAATTTATTTTCCCCCTTCAGAAAAGCTTCCTTATGGCAGAGACCTTTGTTATTTATCTTGTTAACTCCCCCACCCACTATAGTAATCATAATGCAATAGACACACAATCATTGGTTTTTGCAGTGCTTGTTCTGCCTTACACGAAGGCAGATAGTTTTCCAGCTCCCACAAGGAAAAAGAAGGAAAGGTGGGGGTAAGACTATGAATCATCTAACCAGTTCCAAAGTATTCTAATGCTTTAATCTCCCCCATTGCAGATATTACTGTTTATTTTCTGCCATAATTAACTGTAATGATTATTAACTGTAATGATTATTAACTGTAATAATAATCCTTTTTATGTGACATCATTTAGTTTGGATTTATTGTAGGGATATATAGGTGCTTTTCTGCCTCATCTTTTCTCCTCTATGTTTCTCAGCTCTTTTTCTATTTAAGGCAAGATTTGTGTCCTGGTATTCCTATATTTTGTGTAGATATCTTGCCCACATACTTATTTGAGAAGCAGATTTTGAGGCATTTATCACCCAATGGAAATTAAGTTAAAATTGTTTCTAATATTAATAATTTCATGCATATGAAAGAATATACATCTGTGAAGTTTAAAATATAATAATAAAATGAAAATCAGTAAATTCACTGCCAGGTTTGGAAATAGAACATTTTAAATACTTTGAAAATTTCTTACTCCTCTGAAAGGTTACTTTTATAATTATTTCTTTATTGTTGTCTTGCTTTTTTTTTTTTAAGAATTTTGTCATACACACACACAGACACACACACACACATATGTTTCAGGATATATACGTATACCCTGAAAAATATATTGTTTACTTCTGCATATTTGGGAAACTTATATCTGCTGATTATCACTGCTGTATATTATTCCATTGACTGCAGATACAGATAGCACAACTTCTTTTTATTTAATTGAAACATATTGGTTGTACATATTTATGGGGTACAGAGTTATATTTCAGTACATGTATACAATGTGTAGTGATTAAATCAGGGTAGTTAGCAAATTCACCATTGCAAAAATTTATTGTTTGTAGTGAGAACATTTACCATCCTCTCTTTTAACCTTTTGAAAGCATACAATAAGTTACTGTTAATTATAGATGCCTAGCTCTACTGTACACCACTAGAACTTATTTTTCCTATCTAGATCTAATTTTGTGTCCATCAACCCAACCTTTCACTATTTCCCCTCCCCCATCCCCTTTCCCACCTCTAGAAACCACAGTTCTGTTCTCTACTTCTAAAAGTTTGACTTATTATTATTATTATTATTTTTATTTATTTTTTATCTCTCACATATGAGTGAGAACACGCAGTGTTTCTCTTTCTGTGCCTGGATTATTTCACTTAACATAATTTTCTCCAATCTCACTCATTCTGCTGAGTATGGGAGAATTTCATTCTTTTTTTATGGCTGAGTAGTATTATGTTGTGTGTATATATCACATTCTCTTTACTCAGTCATCCATCTATGGACATTTAGATTGGTTCCAAATCTTGGCTTTTGTGAATAGAGTTGTGATAAACATGGGAGTGCAGGTATTCCTTACATACACACACACACACACACACACACACACACGTATATTTCAGGATATATACATATATCCTGAAAAATGTATTGTTTACTTTTGCATATTTGTGAAACATATCTATCTGTCCATCATCAGTGCTGTGTAGTATTCCACTGTATCGATATAGCGCAATTTCCTTATCTACTCAGCTATTGATTGTCATGTATGTGATTTTTAGTTACCTTTCTAAAAAAATGATGTTGCTATATAAATATAGGTGTGGAAAAGTTTCTTTAGGGTTTAAAAATATAGATTCTTTTAAGTGTCCACATAGTTTTATCTCCAAATAATGAGAGTTCTGGGACCCGTCCTCAGGCCTTTTTTTCTTTTTTATTGCAGTTTTTAGGATGTCTAGTATAATATTGCCTGAAAGTGGTGATAATGGGCATTCTTGTTTTTGCCCCTTGAAACTTTTTTATGTTTCACCTTTGAGTATGATATCTGCTATAGTGCTTTTTGGTAAAAACTTAAATTAGGTTAAATAAAAACTGAGTTTGGTTTTAATAAAAGCTTGCTCCCTATGAATGAGATGACGATACAGCATTTCTACTTTAGTCTTTTAATGTGATGAATTGCATTTATAGATTTTTCCACTCTTAAACCAATCACGCATTCCTGGAATAAGCCAGACATAGTTATTTTATATGTGATCAATTTTGTACATGCTGATATATGCAATTTTCATCCAGTAATTTAGTTCTGTCTTGTTTTATTTTAATCCCACATATTAGATATTGGTCTGATTTTATATCATCATTGTTTATTTAGACTTGTCCACATCTTTATCATTTTCATTGTCCAAAACTCCTTCTTGCCTGTCATGGCTTTCTCTAAGATAATTTTCTGTCTTCTTGATGTGTCTCCTTCAAAAGTATTTTATCTTATTTTTTTTAGTGAGGGCCTAGTGGTTGTAAGTTGTTTCAGTTTAGGAATGTCTGAAAATGAATTTATTTTGTCCTCAGTCTTGAACAAATAGTTTATTGAGGCACACTAATGTAGCTTAACAGTTATTCTCTCTAAACAAATTAAAGTTATTATTCCACTGTCATTTAACTTCCATTATTGCTGTTGAGAAATCAGCAATCAAATTTTTGTTTGTTTTTAGTTGATTTATCTTTTCTTTATGACTACTTTAAGACCACATCTGTGACTTTAGTATTCTGCAGTTTCTCCGTTATGTATTTGGTGTAGATGTATCTTGGCTAATCTTGCTTGGAATTTCTGGACTTTGTAATTCTAAGGATTTGTGACTTTCCTCAGTTCTGGCAAATTCTGAGACATTATCTCTTTGAATAATTCCTCCTCTCATTTACTTTATTACCTATTTTTGGAGAACTCATTGGATACATATTAGACTTTTCATTCTACTTTGCTTTTATTTTATTTGCTCATGTTTTTGATGTTTGTTTTTACACTGTATCTTTCTCAAATTTGTCTTGCAGTTCTTTAATTCCATCTACAGATATGTCTAATCTGCCATTAACTCATCTATTGAGTTCTTCATTTCAGTTGTTATATTTTTCATATCAAGAAGTTTTATTGGTACTTTTTTCTTTTTTAAAAAATAGTCTTGTTTTTTACTTATATTTTGAATTTTTCTTTTTCTTAATGTATTTTATGTACTTATTTTATTTCATCAAATTCTAGCATTTAACGTTTTTATGGTTCTGCTTCCACTGTTTATTGTTTCAGTTGACACTCGCTTATGGTACCTTGCTTTCTCATGTGTTTTCTCATGTGTTTGTGGATTTGCATTTTGAGCTCAGGTTTACTGCAATGTTTAAAGGCATGGGCTTGATTTTTTTCTTCGCCAAGAACCAGGACATAGGCAATTTCCCTTATAAGTTTCCTTTCTGGGACAGATTCATCCTTAATTTCAGGACTTTGCAAGCATCTTGATCTGATACTTTCTATGTGTTTTGGGTTCTGTTTTCTGTATTTCTCTTTTGGCTACTAATTCTGACTTCTAGACCATGAGATCAGCAGACATCACCAGAGCAGCCACCTGCTTCAGTGATTTTCTGTATCTCTCTGGTTTAATGCATACTAATTGTTTTCCCCTCTGAGTATTTATATTATTTCTTTGTCAGTTCATTTATGCTGATTTTTTAAATTCAGAATTTTTTTTTGTAAGGGAAAGGCTAAGCCATATACCTCTTTTTAAAAAAAGTATTTATATTATTTCTTTGTCAGTTCATTTATGCTGATTTTTTAAATTCAGAATTTTTTTTTTGTAAGGGAAAGGCTAAGCCATATACCTCTTTTTAAAAAAATTATTTTAATTTATCAATATACAATGTAGTTGATTTTCATGTCCTCTTACCAATTCCTCCTTTTTCCTCTTCCCTGTTCCCTCTCCCCCGACCCATCAACTTCACATCTGTTCACTTGTCTTAACAAGTTCAATGATAAATTCAGAATTTTTCCAGCTATCCCACTGCTGGGAATATACCCAGAGGAATGGAAATCATCAAGTCGAAGGTATACCTGTTCCCCAATGTTCATCGCAGCACTCTTTACAATAGCCAAGAGTTGGAACCAGCCCAAATGTCCATCATCGGATGAGTGGATATGGAAAATGTGGTATATCTACAAAATGGACTACTACTCAGCTATAAAAATGAATGAAATACTGCCATTTGCAACAACATGGATGGACCTTGAGAGAATTATATTAAGTGAAACAAGTCAGGCACAGAAAGAGAAATACCACATGTTCTCACTTATTGGTGGGAGCTAAAAATAAATAAATAAATTCACACACACACACACACACACAAAAACGGGGGGGGAAAGAAGACATAACAACTACAATTCCTTGAAGTTGATATGATAAGCAAACAGAAAGGACATTGTTGGATGGGAGGGAGGAGAGGGAGGAGGGAGGGAGGTTTTGGTAATGGGCCACAATAATCAACCACATTGTATATCGACAAAATAAAATTAAAAATAAATAAATAAATTCAGAATTTTTGATATTGATGCTTAGGTAATTATTTTTATTGTGGTATAATTTATATATGGTAAAATGCACAAATCTTAGTGTACCACTAGATGAATGTTTTTTCATAAGTGTACACATGTATACTCACCACCCAGATCAAGATACAGGGAATTTTCAACCCTACCCATATCTCTTCATGTCTTTCATGTCCCTCTTAGAAGATTCTAAAAGATAGCAATTCTACCACATTCCAAGAAATCAGTTTATTGAATTTTTAATTAAATTAGTCTCTACAAGGTTAATATTTGTGTTTTGATTGGATTTTTGACTCTAATCTCCGTTCATACTGTTTTAAGTTAACTATTTCCTCTTCAAAGCTTAGCATCAGTTTCTGGGTTTATGTTTTTGCTTCTTTTGTACTATGTTTTGTGTGAGTAGCTAAAGTCTTTGATGTTTTTTCTCTCTTAAAGGCACTCCGAGTCATGGGGAGAATAATGCGGGAGTGTTGGTATGCCAATGGGGCAGCCCGTCTAACTGCCCTTCGTATTAAGAAGACTATGTCTCAACTTTGTGTCAAAGAAGACTGCAAAGCCTAATGATGACAATCATGTAAAAAAAAGTCTCTGACGGCTTTCTTTCCCACTTCCCTCTCTATGTGAATGTTTTTGCCTTTTTATTATTTTGTTGTTGTTGTTCTACCTCAATGATAATACAGTACAGTATTTAAGTGCCCAAAGGCAGCATGAAAAGATAACTCTAAAGTTAAGCATGGGCTGGAGTTGACTTCATCTAATTTCAATGTTGTCTTTAATTTTATTGTGAAAAACAAAACATCACCTCATCTTTTTATTTAGTGAGAAAGAAATTACAAAAATGTAAGATAAGCTATATAAAAATAATGAAAGTCCATTAAGGTATAATTTTACTTGAACCAAGAGCACATGAATGAATAGGAAAAAAATGTAAAAGCACATTTTTTTCTGAGATAAAAATATACTCATTAAAAATGTGAACTAGAGCATGTTATAGCTAAACAGAACTTTAGATCATGCAATCTGTGTTTTTCCCTTTTTAAATTAGCAGGACCTTTTGAAAAATAATTATTTCTGTGAATCTTTATCTATAAAACATGTAAGAGTGGAGCTGCTCAGTGGGAGATGTGAGGTTGGAATTCCATTCGCTTGGTCTCCCCTCTCTATTCCCTTTTCTTCATCATCCACTGTTGCAGCATTCCTGAGACAGATAGTTTGAAAGCCACTAACCTTGTTACTTTCTCTCACTTACAAAAGAGGCAACTGACTTCTTGAGACACTGAGAAATGTCCCAAAGACACACAGCTAATAGCAGAGCTGACACGAGGTCCAAATCTTGTGATAATCGACACTGTAGAGTTATCTAACTTCCTACTTTTCCTTTAATTCCCACAGTGCTTTTCTCCCTATGCAGAAAAATCTTCCATTATATTTATAGTTTAGTCTTACAGATGGTGTATTGAGTTATTTTGCAGAATCGTAATGGACCTGCATGAAATCTCAGAACCATATCTACCTACATTTTCCTCAAAGAAATATCATGGTTATCCCATTTATTAATGAATATTAACGTTTTCTGAGCACTTCCAAAGATTAATCAGACATAAACATCTGTTGTCTGAAGTTGTCTTTAAAATGCAATTCAGAGGTCCCTATTACTTTGTAAATACATATTTAGAAAGAAAGGGACAGAAGAGGAAAGAAAGAAATATTCTGAGAAAAATTTTTAAAACTCTTCAATGGAATTATCAATCAAACCCAACAGAGGGCATCAGCAACAGTAATAGATATTCCCCTACCCTTTCAAAATGACCCAATGGGAGCAGAAGGTTTGCCTTCATTCTGCTTTCTGTGGAGATAGAGTGATGAATATTTAACTGGACATTAAATGTTTCCAAGTCTATAATACTGCTCTGGTGAAGGAGATTTAACATGGTGTCTTTTATTATTCTAAAACATTGTTTCTCAAACTCTATTCCTTAGAACATTCTTCTGCTGAGATGATCCAAAACCTGAAGTGTTCTTATATAGCTTCTTAGAAAATGATACTGCACACTAGTATGTCATGTACTTTGAGGAATCTAGCAGTAAAAAATCCAGTTTTAAAACTGGATTTCTCAGTTTGACCATGATGAAACCCTTTTATTAAGAGCAGAAGAAAATTTTTACTATCCCACATGTAAGTGTTCTACAAAACACAACTTGGGTAACACTGTTCTACAGGTTATATCTATGTGTTTTCACATAGATCAAAATTTAGTTATTATACTTCATTTCATTATGGAAATATGTTACTGAATGCATTTTCGTTTGCCTGAGTTAAGATAAGGAAAGCAAAAAACTGACAGCTGTGGGGTTTACATATACTTTCATTCTTTTTCATGCATCCATCCATTTATCAAATAATCATGGAGCACCCATATCTTGCTTGCCACAATATTAGATGCCAGAGGGAATAAAAAGTTAGATAGGTCCTGCTCTCAGGGATTTTAGAGTCTAATTTGGGAATGGGAATAGGGATATGAGTGTGTGGGGGAAGAAGGTAAATTGACAGGTAAAATACAAAGTGGGATGTACTGAATTCTGTATGACAGTGGGTTTCTAGAGTACGTCTGAAAATCACTTTCAATTTGCAACACATTTGGAAAGCATCTTTATTTGGATATTACAGACAATCTAAATATATCATCAGTTTTAAAAAGTGCCTATGTGAAGGGATTTTGAAAAGAACTTATGTGAAGGGGTAATCTTGCTTGTGCTAGGTAACTTGATTTCTCATAGATTGTTTCTGCATATATGAAAATGAAATTATTTACTTACTGTGGTTGTACTCTAGTCTCAGATAAACAAGAAAAATGTTTCCTGTTTTATTCATGTATGTTGGGTGAATATACTTACGGAATTTTAAAGAGAGGGTGTTTTAACATCTCCATTTTCTTTTTTATTATGTGTTATTATTTATTTGAGGGTATCTAAATATAATTCCATATTTTTTGGTTCAATTTTCATTCTGGAGAAATCTGTACATTTGTACACTTTGAGATATTTTTCTTGTTCCTGTGTTAACTGTAACTCCTAACTGAATAGTCCTATATTTCAATTACAAAATACATATTTTTTAAGAAATGGGGTAGAGCAACAAAAATAAGAAAAACGTAAAAGTTATAATTTTTCCTTAACTCTCAACAGGATTTTACATAGAAAATATGCACTTATAAAAATAGGATAATGTTTAAAGAATAAGGCAGATTTACTGTATATACCTGTGCTGTTAAATTTTATATTATTTGTTGTTAATGGAGTCCCAGTATGTAATATTTATTTCTTTTCAATTTTGTTATGATAAAAAAATTTTTTTCTTAGGTTAGGCTCAAAGTATCAGTGCTCTTTGCTCCTTTTAGATATTTTGGCTTTAGGGTATAAATTGTTGTTAATGGAGTCCCAGTATGTAATATTTATTTCTTTTCAATTTTGTTATGATAAAAAATTTTTTTTCTTAGGTTAGGCTCAAAGTATCAGTGCTCTTTGCTCCTTTTAGATATTTTGGCTTTAGGGTATAAACACAGAGCTTGGGAAAATGCTAGTATGAATTTTCAGTACTGTATAAAATCGTAATGGGATTTATATGCAGCATCACTTTCCAAAAATAAGAGAAACATTATGTGTTGTCAATATTTCAGCATGAACTTGTTGCCTTATAAGTTATGCATTTAAGTTTGTAATTGATACAGATTCTGTTGTATGATTTCGTCTATGTCTAAAATATTTGGCATGTCACATCTAGAATTCTTAATTTACGTTCTGACTTGAGAGTTAAGTAAAACATGACTGTCGTGAACTATTTTAGGCATAGAACTTTCTTTTTATCTTTATACTTTCAATTAACTGTGCATTTTAAATTTCCATGATTGTATGAAAATGGTAACCTGGCTGCAGTGTCTGAAGAATCAAAATCAACTTTTATTTAAAAATGAAAATCTACAATAGATTCATTCGGTTAGGAGTTCCACCATAATCTATTATTTTAATAATTCTACTATTGTAGAATTATTAAACAAAACAAAACAACACTACTTCTACTTTCCTGAAATTTTGCCACCATATGACTTGCTGGGGCAGAGAAAACTCAGGGCTATCTTGGAGTCTGCAGGGAACAAACTTAGCAAATCACCTAAAAGCAGGAAGCTGATGGTTGCCATTATACTAAGTTCACATGAACAACTTAAAATTGTTTGGCAAGGAATAGTTTTTGATTTATTATTTAAAACAAATATAAAAATTTACGTGGTTTTGGTTAATAACTTTATTTAAAATGTGGAAATTGTATTTCCCATCCAGAAATTAGGAATGTAACACTAGCAAGTGAATAAAAGCTGGCAGTTTTTGTATCTTCAATAATCATTCCTTTAAATAAATTCATAAATACAACATTATAAGCTACTTAGAAATGTTTAGTGTTAGTATCTTAAAATGGTGTCATTGTAGTTTTTGAAGATATTCTAAACATCTTTTGTGAAACATATTACTTCTGGGTTTGACAATTTTTTGTTAGAGCTCCGTATGCTAATACACACATGAACTTAATTAGCTATTTTAGTGAAGACAGTAATCCCTTTGATCTTGAAGCCTTCTTTTAAACAAAAATGTCAGTTGCAATGTAAAATTTTCATAAACTTTTTATATTAAGTAGAATTTCTATAATATAATTAGGCAGTTTTTCAAAGCATCTTAATGCAAATATTCAGATATTTGATTTTCTTTTTTTCCATGTAGCCTTTCTTTCATGTTTCATTATTCTTCTCACCTCCTTTTTATTAATATTTCCTCACAGTCTTCCAAAATTATTGTTAGTTCCTAATTTTAAATAATAACTATTAATTAACTTACTCTTTCTGGAATTTAGCCTTCTAATGAAAAGGAATCCCTTAACAGTCTAAATTATTTCAGATGTGTCACAGCCAAAGAAAGAAAACCAGAATTTGGCAATTAGAAAGAACCTAAGAGTTTTAAAAACCTGATTCCAATATTTTAGAGATAAAGAAACCAAGGATCACAGATTAAAAGACTGCTAGTAGTAGAACTAACATGAAAACCCCATGGTGACACCCACTCTTGTGCCCTCCCATATTCCCAACTTTTACTAATTAAAAAATTAATTAGCATGCATCTAAACCGACCTTAAATGTTTGCTAACACAATGTGCCATTTCACGATGACAGTCAAATCCCACCTCTCTTTGTATTTCTACTTATAGTAATTTGCTCATTCAAGGTGAGGTCAGTGAGAAAAACTAAAGTAGACTAAGGAAGAGTTAGTTGTAAAATAGTTATCAAGCTAGATAGTTGTCAACCTGGGTGCTGATAAAAGTGATATATAAAATTTAGGAACTGAGAGAGTATAGAATTTTTTAGTGTAAGTAATGATTAGAGAAGTTTCATGACTCTTCCTCCCCCCTTCTATATTGTTCTTTCTCTTTCTGCACTGGAATGGGGGTGAAAGATGATTTGGTAGTTGAATTTGGGACTATGTCTAGGGGCATATTATTTGACTTCTCTCTCTTTTTTAGTTTCTCATTCATTTGTCTTCAGCATTCATCAGCTCCAAATCACTCTATAGTTTCTGCCCTTCATTAGTTGTATTCTAGCCCTGTCCAGATTGCTGCACACTGAAATTCTTAACAGAATTTTAATTTCCTCACTTAAGTATCAGAGGTTTCACTTCATGACTTCTTCAGTAATTTTTCATCTGGCACTAAAGAGAGAATATTTGTTAACAGCAGAAATGGCTTTCTTTTAAACCTTAAAAAGACTAGCTGTCTAGTTATATTCTAGCTTTCAGCAAATATATAAAAATGTCTGCTATTGCTTTAATGCTAAATTCCACTTGAGAGACAGTGACTTGGAAAGAGAATGTGAGATATATGTCCCATAATGTGATTGCTAAATTTATCTCTGCTAGATTTCATACCATTGCTTTGTTTACTTTTGCCATCTTTTAAAAACTAAGCCATTATGCCATATGATTTGGAATGTAATATTTGATTGAAATTAGGTAATAATCCCCATTAAACATTTCTCTGTTAAGAACTGCCAGGATACTTCTTTATTTCAGTCGTGAATGAATACAACATTTGGGAGAATATGAACTCTATCTTATAAGCCAATATTTTCAGATATGACTGTATTTTCTGATTATTGGTACATGTTATCTCACAGGAAGTTTTTCTCTCCAAACCTAACAGTTTTAGCTGCAGGATTTTTACCCCAGGCTACGTGAATCTGAATGTTAATATGGCCAGTAAGAATTTGAGTGCATTAGGAAATTAATCTTATACCCACTGTCACTACATCCATTTGGACATTTAGCTCTACACAATAACTTTCAGCTAAGGGGCAGGTGTGGGCTGAAATCCAAACTGTGATTAGCTCCTCAACCCAGACATAGTTTTACATTTTGCAGAAAAGCACGTTAGCTTATATATCTTCAGGTCATGGCCCTGCTTATACATATTTAGAAAATGAGAATTAAAAATTCAAAATGGTTCTTGACATCTGCAAATTGAATAGGGAACTTAGAACACAATATATATATGTTGGCTTTTCATCCTAGCATTTCCAAGAGCAGAAGAGAGATTGTGTGTTTATCTTGTTGTTTTAATTTTTCAACTCAGACAATCTGCAGCAAGGCACGTGAGTCCTGATTTTGATATCTCCATGAAATTTTCATTCCATGCACAGAGCTATTCATTGACTTTGCCTGTAAAGAGAGGATTACATGTCTAAGTTCTGTCTAACAAATGCAGGCACAGAATGAGATT